GGAAGATCGACGCGTTTCAAAGGGATTGAGTTCAAGTTGTAGTTGTAGACCGTCAGCTGAGAGTAGGAGATTCGGAGAACAGGGAGTTGCGCGCGAAAGAATGAGATCTTGTCGTCCCCTCCAACCTCTTCAATCGCGCCAGCTTTCTGTGTTTCTCTGCGCTCTATAGTGGCACTCTGTGGTCATGGTGACCTCACACTTTCAGACTTTTCACAAATTATAAGGGGCACATCCAGTCTCGTCTCTCTGAAAAAGCTCATCTTCTGGCTCGCGGCACGCTTTTGCACCTTTCAATGCCTTGGCAGCCGCAACTCACTCTTTCTCTGCACTCTGGCCTTTGGCGCCCGGACCCCCACCATTTCTAGTTGTCACGTGACCCACGAAGTATGGACGCGAGCTTTCGGGATATCTGTCAAACGCGTCGCTTTCCTCCTCCTTCGTTCTCCCATTTCCATTCCCTTCTTTTCCTTCCTTCCATCCCTCATCTCCCCTTATTTTCTTCCCTCCGAATATTCGACCAGAAGATGCGATGGGAAAGTGCCTTTGTATCCTCGCAGCGAGAGAACATCCAGTTTACCAAAGCCCTCTAGCAGTCGTAACTGAGGGAGGTTCTCATGGCTTTGATGTTCAGTCGATCGTGAAAACACCATTGCTGAACTCCCACTCGATTCGACGATTTGTCAGCGTTACAGTCGAACGCAGCCTTATAGACCGCCGAGAATGCAGTGATGAAAGAAAGTGCGCGAGTCGAAATCAATCGAGTTTGACCGTTCGTGTCTACAAGGTGCACCTTCCCTCCCTCCCTCCCACTGCTCTCTCGATTCTTCGCAGTCGCGAAGTATGAACACGATGAATCATTGCGTTGTCCGGTTAACCGCCTGAACTGCCAATTGTAGCGTTACGCTTTGCACTGAGCCGGCCTTCCAGCATTCGATCCCTTTTCCTAAAAATAACTACGCCGTACCGTGCTTTTGTAGTATTTGGAGGCGTTGTTCGTGACCTGGGCCAGCGCGAAACTTGGGGAGACGGTAAAGAGGATCGTAATTCGCCGCACCGCCACGCGCGGCGATGGGCGCGGCGTTTTCATAACTCGTTTTAACCTGTCGAATGGAGCACCGGACTTCATGTAGACCCCGTCATCGTAGACAGTCATTACTGTTTTCGGTCCTTAATTGCATGTTGTCGCCATCTACTACCTGGAACCATCGTCCTTTGCAGGCGAGACGTCGCACGCGACGCCCAGCAGCGCGGCGAATTACGATCCTCTTGTCACATACCCCAAACTTGCCTTCTATAAGCATCATTGGATAGATGCTCATATAATTTGAGAACCACAGTATCCACAAACCCTGTGAGTGGACTCTCGTAAAGTCTTTACCAAAGGCCGCGTTCAGGCTCAAGTTAAAGGAACGAGGAATCAGCGGAAAGGGAATCCCATCAAAGAATACCAAATGTACCTACTTGAAGGATCTGACTCAACAAAAAATAGACAAGAACTGATTGTTAATTGGCTAGCGTCCTTCTTTGGGGGGTGGGAGGGGGCGGTGAAAAGTTGGTATGTGGAAGGTCAGAGTTTTCAAAACGCCACGCAGACATGGAAGTGGGAAAAAACAGAATCATCGGTCATTAAAAGGACTGAGTTTTAGTTGTCCGTAGACCCGGCGAGAGCAACGAAAGGTGCAAAAAAAACTTGTCGAAAGTCAGGGCATTTTGTTTTTCGACTGGAGGGCTCCGGGCGTGGTTACAAAGGGGAAAAGTTGGATTGATTCTGTAAAGCTACAGTGGTCACAAAATATCCTGCAGAGATGAAAGCGCAGAGAAAAACAGTATGGCTACGATAAAGGGATCGAGTTCAAGCTGTCGGTACATCGACGAACGCGTTCACGTGGGGTATTGTGGACTTTCGCACTGGGACCCAATCCGCTCAACGTGGCGGCCCTGTGAATACTGTCTGCTTCACGTCAGTTCGCTGGGTAGCGTGCGTTATCGACCTCGTTTTAGGAGAAACGGCGACTCCGAATTCACAAACTTTGGGAAAGAAATGTTGAAATCGGCGGAAGAAACACACACATATTTGTTTGGACCTTTGACGCCACTGAGGGACTGAGTACTCCATTTCCACCCCGTGTTTGTCGCCGATACAGATTTCTGCGACCGAACCGTTCTCCCGACTCTGTCTAATCTCTTCGTAAATCCCCACAACTCTCCAGCACAGGGGCAATTATTGTGTATGAGCAATCATATGCTGCCAAATCAAAAATGAATAACAGCCAACGGTCATATGGCCACCAGGGGTGTTCACTAACTCTCCCCGTCAGTCAGTGCCATCCAGCCGATTGTCCCCTGTGACGCTGTCATAGTAAATGCTAGTGGGTCGTCTGAAGAAAGTCTGTTAGACCCAGTAGAAAGTAGGTCTTCCCGAAGAAGGGACACTGTGCAGAGCTGCACTAGTCGCAGAGTTTGTGATGTTGTGCAAATGCAGACAGACCCACCAAATATTCGATCAATACATGACCAGAGCGAGTTTCCGTGCACGAGGGTACATTTCGCGAGATGTGCGTTTGCGAAAGACTTTCCTGCTTTCGCAAGCAATATGATGTTTCTTTTTCAAAGTTCCATTCTTATTAAATATATGAATTAATCGTTCATAGCTCCGAAGTTGTTCTTTTGTGTGTTGTCTACTTTGCTCAGCTGTTTTTTTATTTGTACATCGCCTTTCTAGATGAACGTTTGTGGGGATTGACGCTGCTGGTGGATCTCTGTTTCCTCCGGAAGTATGGAAAATCTGGATAGGTTCTACCGATATTTTGAGCGACCTCCATTTGCTCCTGTCTATTATCCCACTGCGGAAGAATTTCTGGATCCTTTGGCTTATGTGGCGAAGATTCGCCCAGAAGCCGAACAATATGGCGTCGTCAAAATCGTTCCACCTGAGGTGAGCCTTAAGGACGTTGTGTTTCTGAGTTTGAACAGATTTATCGAATGCTATGTATCCTTGATCTCAGTTCCCACCATTTTCGGTTTTTTTTTGTGCGGATGGCAGATTCGCTGTATTTCAGTGCAGAAGTTGTACTGTAGATCTGTCTCTCTTCTAGTACTGATCACGCGGCTTGAGAGAAGATTGAGCTAGATAGATACTTCTAGAGTTAAAATAGAAACGTTGTTGTGGTATCCATTTTCCCTGTTGCCCATCCTCATCCTTGCCCTTCGAATAACTTATAGTTACTTCCAATACAGCTGCGAATGTTTCATATTGCGAATGCACAAATGTTGAATTGCAAGAACTCTGGCAGTTCTTCGTGGAGTGGTTGTTTCCCGCGATGAGTCACATATACACACACGTTACTGTAATTCCCGATTTTGGGCTTGCCTCTGAAAGGAAGGAGAGTTGTAGGTCATAAAAAGCTCTCGCCGCTAGTTAATTCCTTCTTGGAATGCGGTGCGCACTGTACTTCCATTCAGGGAGATATTTTGAACGATGTGGCTTATACACTGGCTCGCAGGCCAGTCAGAACAAGTCAGTGGTTCTATCCTCAAAGACGAATAGCACCAATTTATCATCCGTAGGAGGTAGAAGACTTGGTTGGCCTGGGCGGGAGCGGGACCGCACGCGTGCTAACGTGTCACTTGCCATATCCTGCACAAACCCGTCATGTGACTACGACGGCAAGCATACGCTGTGCTTGCGAACAGTGCTACTTTGTCCAAGGATTGCGTCTGCATATTAAATGAACACGGAACGATCCTTTAAGTAAACTCAAGGACTATAAAGGAGGAATATGACCGCTTTTATCTGGAAGAAGTTCTTTTCAGAATTTGATGGCGGTTTTTAATTACAAGTGTGGTCTCATAATGAAAAAAAAGTTATACAATAGTTTTTGTGCCATCCTTTCTTCTTCAAAATAGTTTTCATTACTTACAAACGCTTCTTTCAGAGTTTCAAACCACCTTTTGCCATAAATAGTGAGACGTTCGAGTTCACACCGCGCATACAGAAGCTCAACGAAGTTGAAGCTATAGTTAGAGAGCGGCAGGTATGTTAATTTAATTAACTGTAATTTGATAGCCGTCCTATTGTTGCATTGTTGCGATTGTGATTGTTTAAAGGGGTTTAAGTAGGTTGATTTGGATTGTCACTTATGTGACGCTGATAATTGAGCGAAAGGTTTCACTGTAGTTTTAACAGCTACATGACGGACATGATTCTGAAATATTTTCCGTGCATTCAGCCATTTAAGCATCCGTAGAATGTCAAATTCCCGATGTGTAACGAGTCCGACTTAAATAGTTCAAGCTGGTTCAAAACGCGTTCATTTTCATTCGAAAAATGTACAATTTTGCTTCAAAAACGTTCTCTTCTTCTTGAAAAGTGTTCAATTTAAAGGTATAAACCGGTTATCTAGGGTGATATATACTCTTTCCAGGTGTTTCTCGAAAAGATTACGACATTTTGGCGACTGCAAGGTTTCGAATTCAAAAATTTGGTTGTGGATGGTAAAAACGTTGATCTCTTCAAGCTTTACAAGGTCAGCTTTTTTGTCTTTTTCCTTTTCTTTTTTACCAAATTTTTTGTCTCGGATCATACCCTGGTCTTTTGTCAGATGCTCATCTATTCTAGTCAAACTTATTCTGTCCCAATCTTTCGCATTTTTCCATACATCTCTAATTTGACCTTCATTCTTTGTCTTGGGTTCATACTTTGCCGATCGGATGGCGCAACATCCATTAGGTGAGTCGCTGCAGCGACTGTATCCAAGAACTCGGTCGTGATCGCGTGGTCCAAAGGATCGGGTCGCGAATTAGAAGGCGCTCCTGCATACTTG